CAGACTCAATGGTATTTAACAACAACAACAACAATGCAGTAGCTGTAGCCATGTAGCTTTTGAGTACTAGAAATGCAGCTGGTGCAACTAAGAAGTTGGAATTTTATTTAATTTTTAATTCATTTAAACTTAAATAACTAGTAGCTGCCATATTGAACAGTGAAACTTTAGATCTTTATTTTTCAGAAACTATGTTTGTAAAATTTCAGAATTTTTCCGTTAATGTGGAAAAAATACTTTTTGACCCAGTTGGCTGCCCTGGGAATATTGCCTAATAGAAATCAAAGCACCAGAGTGCAAGGATATATACAAGGGAACTTCTAAAAGTTTGTGGGGAAAATTCACAATTTTTCAATTCTACTTTTTATGAACTTTTGAAAGCCCCTCATATATACTATAGTTTTATCATTTAGAACTTAATTGTTAGAGTGTGCTCTGTGTAACTCGGAAGGTCCTTGAGACCCTTTCACAAGTCAGCTGTTTTAATAATAATAACGGGTTATGAGTTTTCATGAACTACTGCAGAAACAACAATGGGTGAAACTGTGGCCACCGTAATACCAATCAGACCCATGGCTTCGCATTCTACAAGAAATCACTGGATTCTTCTCCGACATACACTTGCAGTTTACATTAAAAAAAAAAAAAGCCAGTTTCACTTAAGAATGCCCTGATTAAGCTGTAAAAATTACTGGTTTTGTTGTGTGTTAACTTTTGAGTACATGTCTTTTTTCTATTCTGTGTGAGGAAAATGCAAAGCCCACAATAAAGCACCTTTGCTGGATACTAGAGTACAATGATTGACTCAAGGAAGAATGTTTGTGTAGTCATTTCAGTTGCAAGCTAAACTAGCCACGTTTATTCATGGAATGCCATGTTTATCAAAAGAATGATTGACAGGGTATGCAATTCAGCTTTGGGTATTTGACAGATGTTTTCTCAAAACTGAATTAAGTATTCAAAGAAAACTGACAATATTTGTTGCCAGTAATGACGTTCAGAATTTCAACCAAATGTCAGAATTTTGAAGACTTTGTATTCATCACTCATTACTTAATTTTTTTTTTTCTCTAGAGATATGAGTGAATGTACTGTTTTGATATTGTAAAGAAGAATTTGTCAGCATTTGGAAGAAGTGCATTAGTCATTGAACTGAAATTTTCAAATGGCCAGTGAATTTTAAATAACAACATATAGAAAGTTCATTGATAATGGTGTCAGAGTCCATATTGTAAATAAACTTTAAGAAACTGTCACCTGTCAAATTGTAGTATCATTTAAAGAAAGAATACCCACAATTATCATGAAAGACTATTAAAATGATCCTCTGTTTTACAAATATTTCTCTGTGTGAGGCCAGATTTTCTGTATATATTTCAACAATATACTACAACAGATTAACTGCAAAAACAAATGTGAACATCTAGCTGCCTTTTGGAGTCCTGGTATGGCACTGTAAGGTAAGCACTGGACTGCAAGGTCATTTTGAACTGCAAGGTTGGAAGTTCAAACCCACCAGCTGCTCCTTGGAAACCCTCTACAGGGCTGCTGTGAGTCAGAACCGACGCAATAGCACTTAACAACAAGAACAGCTTCTTTTTATTAAGCCAGACAATAAAGACATATGCAAACATCTAAATACCACTCTTCTCACTACATTTTTTTTTTTTGAAAATGTAATTATTTTCTTAAAGCAAATAACACCACTGTATGCTTTTGAGAAATAAGCTTCAAAAATGGCAAATGATGTTTTATTATTATTATAAACATAGTTTGACCTTGAGGAATCTCAGGGACCCTCTATGAGTTCAGGAATCACAGTTTTGAGAGCTGCTGCTCCAGAGAAACTCAAACATATGGTCAAAGAAATGACAAATGCAAGCTTGTTCATTATGATGATTGATTGTAATAGTGGAAAGCTGACAACAACCTAAAAACCCATCCTGAAGGAGAATGGATAAATGAAATACCTATCTCTCCAGTGTAATTTTACATGGCAGTTGGAGGAGGTAAATGAAGAGCTATCAAAAGCCATGTCTAGTAATTGAAACAAGAATCAAAAGACATAGATATACTTTTTATAAATTATGTTAAAAGTATACAAACTAAACAATGTTATCTGTCTTTTATAGATATGTATATATATTTGTAGAAAACGTATTGCCGTATAATAATGGTTGCCTGTAAAGATTGGAGATTTCAGTTTTTATGCTTTTCATAAATTAAAGTCTAGGAGAATATAATGTGAGAGTATTTCAAATTGTTAATTTGGGGCTTTGGAAATATAAACACTTATTATTATGCACTTTTTGTATTTTCAGATAGTTTCAAAAAATCTCAAAACACTACAAAAATAAATACTAAACAATGAATTGTTGATGTCTTTATTCTGTTTGCGTCATTGACAAGAAAATGAAACAAATTTGTGCAAAATAAAGTCTCTGCTAAAGTTAAAAAATTGCGAGCAGTGAAATGTATCATCATTTGCCCATTTAATTCACAACAGAAAACATGATAATATCTTGTATAGAGAAAGTGGAGTGCCGTGTAGTTTTAATTGTTTTTAGTGGCATTGCTAGTTGGACAATCCTTTTTTTAAAAGTGTTTAAAAAATGGTTGCAGGTCCATAACATGGTTCATGGTTCTCTTCTACAGAGCCATCTCATAGTATGAAATAATTATAGGTTTCATACTATTTGGGATAGTAAAAAATTATAAGGAGTCTAAGCACTTGGCAATAAAATCGTGGTTACAGTAATTAAGTTACTTGATATGCCATTACTAACAAATAAGTGTAAAGACCAATTAGCACTGTGGAAAGTGAATAAAAAGTATGTTAAGTTCACAAAGGGTTATGAAATCATCTATCTATTCTAATTACGATAATTTAAATTAAGGTATTCTATTAAATATAGGGTGCTGAGGTTATGCATGAGTATTTTTCCTCCTTTAAACTTGTTTTCAAAGTTATTTTCATATACAATATTTTAAAATTTATTTTTAATTTATGTGATGATTAGCCTTTCTTTTAACAATATTGTTTTGGACTCATCTCTTCCATATCTCAGTTCCTTTCCTAATTCTTTAAACCATAGGCAGAAATTAAACGTCTTCAAGAAGCCAATAAGGCAGCTCGGAAGGAAAGACAATTGATTCTTAAACAGCAAGAGGAGATAGAAAGGATCCGACAGACCACTATAAAACTGCAAGAGAAGTTGAAGTCTGCAGGGGAGAATAAATTGGTAAATTACATGGATTTATAATGGCATTTGGGGTTTGTTTTGCCTTATGATGCTTGCTAATTTTTAACGTAGCCTCATATTCTCATAGGAGGGATATGTCCATTCTAACACTATGATGCATTTATAAACTAGGATAAAATTCCAAATACATGTTATTATATGTAGTAAGAGTTATCTTTTTTTGCCTTCCACCAAGTGCTGAAAGGGGAAAATGGTTCCTATTTTTTTCCATTGTAAACTGAATTGGGATAGAGAGCTTTGCTGCTCTTGCGTATCAATCCAAATATATTCATCACAGAAAGACTGTTTTTACTCTTTATTGTTGTTGTTAAGTGCTGTCAAGTTGGTTCCAACCCATAGCGACCCTGTATAGGGTTTCTGAGGAGCAGCTAGTGAGCTTGAACCGCCCAATCTTGCAGTTCAAACGGCTTTGAAGTCTGGTACATTAACCTGCAGTGCCACACCAGGACTCTGTTTTTACTCTTTAGGTAATACTTATTTTGTCTGTACAGTTGTAGTGTAATGATACAATATTTAAAGGAATTATTCAGAGAAAAATAATCTGAAAATAATTTAAAATACTATAAAAATACTTTCCTAAATTTAGAGATGGAAAACCCAGACAATATAGCAATATACTTATATAAATCCCTAATATATATATTGTTTGTTGTTGTTGTTTTGTTAAGTGCTGTCGAGTCCATACCGACTCATAACAACCCTGTATAGGGTTTCCACGGAATGCCTGGTGGATTTGAACTGCCAACCTAGTGGTTAGCATTTAGAAAACTTGCAAACATCGTGCAGAGAGCTTTGTTTTCCTGAGTCATTTGAAAGTAAGTTGCCACCTGTTGCCCAGTCTCCCCCTATACCTGTTGTATTACATATAAACAAGTACTTGTTGTTTTCTTTAGCATAAACACAATATAACCATAAAAAGCAGATAATTGCCATCCATACTACTACTTAATTACACACTCCATTTAAGTTTCCTCAGTTGTCACAATGTTTTTGTTTTTGTTTTCTATAAAAAGATAGAGTCATTTAGTTTCTAAGTTTTTCACTTTTCTGGAAACCTTTAGTAGTCCCTTTGGGAAATTACATGCCAGTTATTTTGTAGATTTTTTTTTTTTTTCAATTTGGGTTTGCCTGTTGTTTCCTCATGATTAGTTTCCAGTTGTGTTATCTTTGGCCGAAATATCTCAATAGTGATGCTGTGTTCTCATTGTTCACTTGAGCAAAGTGGTGTTTTGAAAACTTCACTGTAAAGTTAACTGCTTTCTCCTTTATATTTAATAAGTACTTTGTGTGGATGTATACTGAGATTGTAAATTTCCTCTTCTTCCTTAAACATAAACTTATTCTTTTATTTGTATCAGTGTGGATTTGTGGATTTCTAATTTACTTAGAGTTGCAATCTGTTACTTTCACTACTTATTTTGATTTTCACTTTGTACCAAATTAGACTATTAGTTATCTGTGTCTTTTTGACATGCCATTAATCTTTGAGCACTTCCATGCTTTCTGGAACAAGGTGACTCAGACTCATCTTATATTCTCCTTGCCTCGGCCTTGGAATAAGCCATTTCTCTAAAGAGTCCTAGTTCTTTTTAGTGAGGAAAGTGGTTATGAAACCAAGATATGGTTCTAGGCATGCATGCTCATTGCTACTAAGGTATTACTTACTGCTCCTAGCAATAAATCTAGAAAGTATGAGTGAATAAAATATATATATACAAATATACAAACACAAGGGGGCTCAAAAAGTTTATGGAATTAAAAATTGCCTCATGCATATAAACATGCATGCAGGGGTTTCAGAAAGTTTGTTGAAAAATGCATTATATTTCAATTCTGTTTTTCCAAAAACTTTTTGAATCCCCATCGTGTGTGTCTGTTGTATATACATCCATACATAAAACCAAACCCACTGTGATCTTATTGATTCTAACTCATAGCAACCTTGAATAGGGTTCCCAAGGCTACAAATCTTTACAGGAGCAGAAAGCCTCATCTTTCTTTCGTGTAGCAACTGGTGGATTTGAACCACCAACCTTGTGGTCAGCAGTCCAGTGCTTATTCTAATATCTCAAATTGCAATCCAGCAACACAGGGTTTGTTCTAATATATTCTCTTTAGGAACTCGCTTCTTTGACAGATGCCAGCTAACATTTTCTGTAATACAGGATTTGATCCATCACCCATTTGTTATGTAACCAGTAACCACTGCTACCTCCACCCCCATGCCGATTCCCTCCTCACCTTGCACCAGGCTGTCCCCATATGGACACCCGCTTCATCCCATTTGGCATTGAATTTCCCGTCACCACCTTGCACCTTCTCTGTACCTTCTTTACCTTATGTACTCTGACACCCATGCAAAGAAGTTATCTGTAGGAATGCTGTCCACACTAGGGGCTCATGACTCCTTACACAGGCCACCCTCCTGTGTTAGATGCCCTCTCATCGCACTTATCTGTCCTGCACTGCCCCATCTAATTCCTTGAGTACAAAACTGCTCAGAAAGGTTGTTCTTTTATCTTATTATCTATGAAATAAAAGCAGTCATATCTGTCCTACCCATCTTTTTGAAAATTTAAGAGAATAAATGACTACATGTGGGGAAGACTGACTGGCTTGTTGCTCATCAGAAATGATACGAGGAGACTCCAGCAAGGTTGTGGGAAAATTCCATTATCTTTTAATTCCATTTTTCCATGAACTTTTGAAGCCCCCTCATACATTGATTAAACAAATAGTTCCTATTTTTTTTCATTATAAGCTTTTTAATTTGTGGAAATAATTATTTACCATAAGGATTATCTGTGGAAATAAATTCACTCCCCCCCACTTTAAAGTAAATTTTATGTGTTTTCTTTTTCATGTCTATACATGTTGTTGTTAAGTCAGTTCTCACTCATAGCTACCCTGTATAGATTTCCAGGGCTGTAAATCTTTGTGGTAACAGAAAGTCTCATCTTTCTGCTATGGAACAGCTGATGGGCTTGAACTGCTGACTTTCTGATTAGCAGTCCAGTTCTTATCCTACAGAGCTATGTTTCTGTACATAATTATAGTGTCTATAATTTTGTGTTCCTTTTGTTATTGGTTCAACTTTTAAAAATTAAAGAGGACATTTGGATACTAAATTACTAATGATCAAATTTTTTTCTTATGTCTTTTATTTTTATTTTTAAGTTATACTTTGTGATACTGTTTTGCTGCTTAAGCAATACCTTCTCTGGTATCAAAATGGTTACCTTAAATACTCCAGTGCTAAACAGAGGTTCAGCATTTTGAATATAGCAGCACCTCTGTGGAGAAAATACCTGGTGATCTGCTCCTGTAAAGATTACGGTTTAGAGAACCCTATGGGGCAGTTGTACTTCATCATACTGGGTCACTATTAGTCGGAAACAACAAGATCAGTAACGGTTTCAAATGCTACACAATTATAATACTTGGTTTTTGTTTCTAGGAGTCTCATAGTGATGATAATACCAAGGATAATAAAGCAACTAGTCCTGGTCCAACTGACTTGGAAACCCGTAGTCCTTCTCCTATTTCAATCTCCAGCAGTGAAACTAGCAGTATTATGCAGAAGCTGAAGAAAATGAGAAGCCGCATGGATGAGAAGTAATTCATTTTTATAAATGCCTTCTGTTAAACTTCATTGAAAAAAAAAGCAATAAATCTTATTTTAAAAATGTAGTTCATTATATTAGATTGAGACAATCACTTTTTGAAGATACGGTGCCAATTTGGTAGAATCATTGCATCCATCTTGAAATCAGTTAGCTAGATCTTTTTAATAAAACATTTTTTTCTCATTTTAATTCATGTATCACATGTATCCATGACATCTTCTGTTATAAAAAGTTACTATTAAGTGTGAAAGTTAATTCTGTCGCTGAAATTAAGGAAATGTCTACTGACCAGGGAGAGCAACTAATGGTATGTCCTAAGATTTCATCCTGTGACTCTCAGCAGGTATCCGGCATATTCAAATAGAATGGTGAAATTTTAACCTTGTGAGTAGGTATGAGTTGCTCAGTTGAAACAAGGAGTATTAAAGTTCTCCTGGGATCTTGAAAGTTACAGCAGTCTTTCAACTGCACCCTTTAGTCAGCCATACTTCCATTCTTCTAAAACCTAAGTATTATTTTTGAAAAGACTTTTTTAGAGAAAGCTACTTCTACTTAGATGTAGCTTAGTTGTACATCAGCTTTGAGCACATAAAATGTCATTTATATGATGGTCTACTCTTCTGGGTGTTTGATTAAATATGGTTGTAAACTAACTGCTGGTAGACTATGTAACCTTTGTCTCCATATCTTGTTTGTTGTTAGTATCATCGAGTGGGTTCTACCTCATAGCGATCCTGTATAGGGTTTCTGAAGAGCAGCTGGTGGGTTTGAATCCCTGACCTTGTGGTTAGCAGTCCAGTGCTTATCTTTATGTCACACCAGGACCTGTAATATCTGGTTCCTTTGAAATCCAATATATGTGGAAAAGAGGCCTGTTTAAAAATTTTTGTTGACTTTTTAAAATTTTACATTAGCAATCTGAACCAGAGATCAAGCTTGTTATATCTTGATATCTTTTGACAGTGTACCATGCATCAAATTTAATAATGCTCTATATTAATAATGTAACCTCAAACAAGGACTTGATTAGTTTTTGAATTATTGAATAGTTCTTATTTTGTATAGGTACAGTGTTATACATTAGCATTTCATTGTTAAAAATCCATTTCATAACTCAAAAATACTTAATTTGATTATGAAAATAAGTTTTTAAAAGTAAAAACAAAGTTTAAAGTAAAAATTATAAGGGGTCAAACCAAATACTATTATGTAAATATTCCTTTTTTATGATTTCCACGGGGTAAACTTGTTAAGGCTGAACTATAACTTTCACACTTAATTGTGACTTTTAATAAAAGAAGGGAGAAAATATTACCATAGGTACATATATAATAGGAATTTATTGACATTAGATTAAAGATGCTTTCATTTTTTCTTGATTAAATTTTCCCGTAACCAACATAGATATGCTCTTGTTGCTCCAGGAATCATCTAATTCAAAATTAGAATAAACTCTCTTATAAAAATTTTTAATCACTAATTTGGCATTTAAATATGTTTCCAAATGTCTCTTAACTGTAAATATTGGAGAAAAGACAGCTTCAGGAATAATTTCTTCATTCTTCCTTTGCCCTTCTTTTTCAGTAAGATCTTTAATGCCAAGAATAATATTCTAATAGTTTGACCACATTTGTAGAAGAAACTGTGAATCCCAATCTGTTTGTGAGTTTTGTCAGTTAGTGGGGTGCTTATATCAGATTTTGGTTTGAAGCTTTAAAAATTCTAACAAAATTCAAAGTTGGATTTACTGAATTTATTCCAAGTATTTAAAATTAATTTAACACTATCCAAAATATCGAATGCTTAGGAATTTTGTATTATTGCTTTACCTTTCCTGTCAACAGTAAACCTTTGAGAAGTTTGTCAGAGACTAGACCTTGAAGCAGTCAGTAACTTTATGATTTATTATTTGAATCATTGCATCTGTTTTTTTGGGTAGGAATGGGATATGTGCAATTATGGCAATAATAATAATAACTTTGATGATTGAATGAGGGTGCTAAAATTTGAGGGTGACTTGGAGTAATTTCTAAAATAAGCAGTACTTTAAAAAGGAAATTTATTGTTAGTGAAATAAATTTTGACAAGTAGTATAAAAACTTGTTTTAAAATACTGTTTAGATCACCAGTGCTTTAGAATTTTGTCTCATTGGATGGTGTTGGAGTGTTAACTTAGTAAACAAAGAATGGGTTAACTTTGTAGTCATTTGCAGCAATAAACAGCCTTGAAAACAAAATTGTTTGAGCTTTAGCTGCTTCATGTTCTGTAGATTTGCAGACATTCATTTCTAAGAGATTCTTATTTATTGATATATAACATTTGTAAAAGAGTAATCCTGAAAAGCGTTTTCTGGAGAAAATACTTATTTTATATTATTTTTCATTGTTATTCCTGGAACTCTGATTTTACGACAAGATAATTTTCTAAAGTGATCAAACCGTTGTTGACTACAATGAAACATTGTTTTATATTTTACTGAGACAACATGCCTTTGTTAAAATTTTGTTTGTAATCTCTGACTTTTCTAGATCTCTTCATTGAATTGGCACTTTATTAATAATTTCTATATCTCAGTGTTATTGTTAAGTGCCTTCGAGTCAGTTATTACTCATAGGGACCCTGTATAGGGCTTCTAAGGAGCAAATGACAGGTTTGAACTAATGACTTTGTGGTTTGCTATCCAGTGCCAATCCTACAGTGCCACATCAGAATTCCATTTCTCAGTGTAGTGGGAAGCAAAAACTTAGTAAAAATGAAAATATGGTTATAAAAGACGTGCAGTCTTTTTTTCATGTTATTGGTAAATAAAATCCAAGTCTTGTTCATTTACTGTGAGCGTCATTACTTTAAATATAAGTGAGTTATCTATCATGGTGGAACAGATTTCTAAGGGAAAAAAATGATACAGTAGACTTTTCCTATTATTTTACCAATTCCATTTCAAGGAAATTCTCTATTGAATAAATGAAACCGTGAAAGAATGGTGTTTTCATTTTAAGTGTTGCATTTTGTTGTTTCATTTTTTTATAGTAACTTGCTCTTCCATGGTATTAATTAATGATGTATTTACTCCCTCAGCACTTATATATTGAGAATTGCATAACTGCTGTAGATTCTGAGAGATACAAAGATAAGTCAAACAGAAACCGTGGCCTCAAAGAGTTGATTTATAATCTAGGTGTGGCACTGTTAAATAAGATGGCGGTTTGAACTGCCGACCTTGTAGACTAATGACAAAGTGGGCCGCTCAGACTCACCAGCCCATCTTCAGAAACCCTCTAAGGGGTCGCTATGAGTCAGAACAGACTCAATGGTATTTAACAAAAACAACAACAAAGGTGAAAAAACAAATAACTTTGTCACAGGTTTCTTTAGAACTTTAAGAAAGTTCAGAAGAAAAGAAAGTTTTATTCTTAAGCATATTAAGACAATTTTTACGGATAAGTGTTGAGACTTAAATATAACTCTAACATATGTATTTTTCTAGCATAAGAAAAAACAAAACAAATAGTATCTCTCTGATCAGTGAAGATGAAGAAAGCTTAGAAAACTGAAGCGTACCATCACAAAATATTTTAAATATCCCCTTCCCTCCTCCTAGTTTTCTTCGAAACTGTTAATAGAGCAACATTAACTTTTATTTTTAGTTTTAAATAGTTAAACTGTTAAACAGATAAATATTTTATGATGTTATTCTAAAAATGTGTTATGCGGTCTGGTCAATCTGCTCAGACCATCAGTCAGCTGAATTGGAAAGCTTAAACACTTACAGGGGGAGGCTTTTGAAAATCCATTAAAGAAGGCACCCCAATTGGAATTAGTTTAAATAATTTATTAAATATTATTCTTCAAATTTGAACATAATTTTCTTAGAGACTGTTCTTGTCAAAAGTGTAGTAGCTTAATTAATTCTGATAGTCTATTTCATTTTTATTTTCTGCACTTCCTAGTTCCAAATAATTACATAAGGTTTTATTTACAAATATGTAAATAATTAGACAATTTTAAGTAATACAATAGGCTTTGCCATAGGAAAAAGGTCACTGCATTGTCACTATTTACTTGTTTGATTATTATTAAAGATACCTAAGACTTAAAGGAGTTCTAGTGTGGTGCTGTAGGGTAAACACTGGGATGCTAACCAAAAGGTTGGTGGTTCAAACCCACTAGTACCCTGTATATAGAAAATCTTATACAGGGTATCTGTAAGTTGGAACCGACTTGATGGCACTGGTGTGGTAGGATAAGCACTGGACCTCAAGGTTGGTTTGAATTACAAGGTCAGCAGTTCAAATCTACCAGTCGCTCCTCAGAAACCCTATATAGGATTGCTATGAGTCGAAACCAACTGGACGGCACTAACAAAACAAAAAACAACAAGGACTTTAAAGAATCTATTTTAAAATATAAAGTACTCTGCTCCAGTTTTACGTAAAACAATACATCATTTAAGAATTATAAATCCAGAGAAAATTTTTAAATGATTTAAGGTATCTTTGTATGTTTGGTTTAATATGTCTTTTAGAATGAAAGGATTTTGGAGCTGAGAGTTTCATTTTAAATTTAAATAATTTCTCTTTCAAATTAGAGTATGGTTTTTAAATCTGTTGAAACAATCTGCAATTATAATCACTTAATGGAAAAATGTTGAGATATTAAAAAAGAGTAGGCGGCATTTGAATAGAAAGAGAAAGGATGATAAAATGTTAGGGCTAGAAGGACTCTTAATGAAGTTATCTGGTATAGTCCTTTGTTTTACATGAAGAAATTAAGGCCCACAAAGATACCATAGCTTGCTCCAGATGACACACGTAGCTGAATGGCAAAGCTAGAACTAGAGCCTGCTCTTTGGACTTCAGCTCCAGTATTCTTACCATCGGAAAACACCATGCAGTTGTCCAGTCCTGTCGAGTCAGTCTGACCCATAGTGACTCTGTGGGGTTTCCAAGGAGCAGCCATTGGCTTGAATCACCAGTGCTATGATTAGCAGTCCAGTGCTTATCCTACAGTGCCACATCAGGACTACATAGAACATCATTTGTTGTTAAGGTCAGTTCTGACCTATAATGACCCTGTATAGGGTTTCCAAGGAGCTAGTGGTAGATTTGAACCACTGACCCTGCGATTCCAATCGACCTTGTGGGCTAGTACATTATCCTACAGCGCCACACCAGAACTCTATAGAACACCACTGGGTAAGCCAAAAATTTGAATATACAGTGAAACGTCAAAAAGTGTGGGAAAATGCTTAATGCAATTTCCTCCCAACTTTCTGAAGTCCTGTAGTATAGTCTTCTATAGTAAGGGAGATTTTTTTGAGAATCTCTTGAAGCTTTCAGTTGTCCAGGTAAAGTTAGTTAGTTGCATATTTACTTTGTAATTTTTTTTGGAAACTGCATTGATGACTGTTGTCTTTAATATAAACTGACCTTTCTAAATAAGTGTTTTTTGAAGCTGGAAAAGTGCTAGATGGATGATTACTGGAGTTGTATAGTCACACAGTACAAGCTTAGAGTGTGAACATGTTATTTTAAAAAGGAATTAAAGAGTGCTTTCTGGGAAGATGGCTGTAGAAGGATGTTGATGTTAAGTGCTGTAGGCTTGACCATGACTCATAGCAACCCTAAATAGGATTTCCGAGGAGGAGCTGGTGGGTTTGAACTGCCAACCTTCTGGTTAGCAGCCTGCTGCTTATCTTATAGCACCACACCAGGATAGATAGGTAATATAAAAAGGAACCAAACAGATTTACTGGAGATGAAAAATAAGTAGTGAAATGAAAAAATTCAGAGGAATGACTCAATAGCAGGAAAAAAAATCAGGATAAGAATAAGATATGCAATTGAAATTTTGAGTCTGAAGAGCAAAAAGGAAAAAGGATTAAGAAAGTGGAGCAATACCTAATGGAATTGCAGGACATTGTCAAATAGCATTACACTCCACAGAAACTTCAGAAAGAGAAGAGAATAAAAGGACAGAAAGTATATTTAAAGAAATAAAATGTTGATACTTGAAATTCCAACACCATTTCATGACAAAAATATACAACAAGCTAAGAATAGGAAGGGAAATTCTCAGTCTAATTTTAATTTAAGAATAAAGGGAGATGAAAGACTTGTACACAGTAAAACTGTAAAACATAGCTTAAAGAAATTAAAGACGACCTAAATCATGTCCTGGTATGGCACTGGACTGCTAACCACAAGGTTGGTGGTTCAAACCCACCAGCTACTCCTTGGGAACCCTATTCAGGGTCGCTATGAGTCAAACCTATTTGATGGCATTTAACAACAACAATAATTTTTGTAAATGAAAAATTTCAGTACTTGCTCTAATAGAGAAAATTATTGTTCTCTATACTGAGCAGGAGGAGTCCCGGTGTGGCACTCTTGGTTAATGCGCTGGATTGCAAACTTGATTTGAACCGCAGGGTCGGTGGTTCAAGCTCATCAGTTGCTCCTCGGAAACCCTATACAGGGTCACTGTGGGTCGAAACTGACTCGATAGCACTTAACAACAACAACAACAATATTGAGCAGGAAGAAAATTAAATTGCATATATTATCATTTATTTCATATGTTTCAATATTATTTTACTTTTTGTACTAGGTCGTGCATGCATTTAGCAGTTGCATACTTAAGAGGGTGGGTGATCTTTGTTATGAATACACTTTTTTAAACCTTTTGCCAAGTGCATTTGTTATTTTACATAATATTGTGATGATTGGCATCAAAGTAAGTTTATTGAATATTCACAAAGAATGGCAAGGAAGATTGTGTTACCTTACTGAAATTTGGCAAAATCGTGTTTTCTTGAATTTTGGTGCAGAAAATCAAGGCAATCCAGATATGAATGTGTGTGTGTGTGTGTGTGTTTGTTTAAGTAAAATACTGAGTTACATGTGGGAAAGCAGACATTGCAATAATCTGCTATCTAAAGACACGTCTAGGCAATGTTGGACATACTTTTTAAAATCCAAATGAGTGGCTGGATTTATACCTAGATTTTCTCACTTCTGTGACAGACTGATATTACTCCTTGCCCTTCCAAGGCAATAAATGTTGCTTTGATCTACAGGTTATTGTTGTGTGCATGTGAACAGGAGCATGCTCTGTCAAAGAGAATTAACCTTTTCAGACTACTTGTAGACTTATTTGTCCTTTCACATATATATATATGTGTGAAATATATATTTCACACACATATATATATATGTAATCTGTATACTATTACAAAAGAGAAAAAAATTATATTTCTACTATTAAAGCTTTAATACGTAGAATTTTCTTATCTTTAGCATGATGATTGAGCTGTCCACAGCATGATTTTTTTTCATCAACTACTTATTGGGACTAGCTCACTGTACTCCTAATTATGCATTCTGGTACTATGCAATGAGTACTGTATTTCAGTATGGTTATTTAAATGTACCTTTGTTAAATATGAAGCACGACATCTCCGGTAGGTCTCGTTAACAATATGTTCTATGTTATACACATGAGCAAGATATTTTTACTATAGATTGATTTTTTAATAATTATTATTTCCAAGTTAAACTGTGATAGGAAAATGTAGTACTTTTAAAAATTTCAGGCTTATGATAATGACTTTCTCAGAATTTCCTCTGTATGTAGAGCTGCTGACATGCCAGCTTTGTGGCCATGATTGTTGTACTCCATGTTACGTGTTATGGGAAACTTATTTAACTTCGAAGTGTACTTATTATTTTATGTACATATGAGTAAGTTTATTTGAAAACATCTATGTTGGTTAGTAGTATCTGAGAAGGCATGTTTATTCAGAAATCATTGGTATTATCTATGAAAGTACATGTTTTATATGTCACATAGGATATAACACTTGCTTGAACTGAGTAGCTTATAATGTTATTCAGGAAGCAAATGAAAAGCTCTTCATTCAGATCTTATGCTTTCCCTTTCATTCTTTCTGCCTCTTGATCTCTTGGTTTAAAAATCTTCCTCCTTATTTTGTAGACACTGCTCTCCTGTTCACTACTTCTTCTCTGTCTTTACGTCTCATCACTGGGCCTCTCTCAGTGTCTGTTTTCCCAACCTTCATCCCAAATTCCAGCTGTATATCTACAACCAGTTGGTCAGGTAACTTGCACCTTTTTCAGTGCACTCTTTGATAGAGCATGCTCTGTTCTTTTTGTTTGTTTTGATTTGCTTTTCTTCTTTTTTTTCTCCCCCTTTTTTAACAGCCTGGAGGCTTCTTGTCAAATGTCCCATAGACTTTACTCTTTTGTTTTCACATTAATTTGACATGCTGACTACTCAAGAAGTGGAGTGACAGTTCTTGTGCTTTTTACATGTTTGCTGGATGCGTGAATACATTTTTGTTGATTAACCACCATTATGACCACCAGGAATATTATCAGCTCACCTTTTATTTAACAGTAGCATCTACAGTTGAGAACTTAATAGTGGTTTTTTAGCTATAAGTAACATTTCTTAAATCAGTAACTTCTCCTAACCTTTTGGAGCTAAGACGCGATGGGCCATTTGCCATTTAAATTCAGAGTTACGTTGAAAAATTTGAGATATTTGGTGCATACTCTTGCTCAAGTAAATAGTTAAGTTTGGCTGTATAAGACATCTGATTGTGGTACTCAGTATTGTCTTCAGGAAAAAAAAAAAATCATCTGACATTGTATCTATTAGGCAATGGGAACCAAACCCAATAGACTGAAGCAAAGTCAGAACAAATTTAAAAATTAAAGTCATAAAGTGACACAGATTTTTTTGTTTGTTTGTATTTTTTTGTTTGTTTGTTTGCTTGTTTGTTGTAGGGGGTTTGGGGTTTGGTTTTTGTTGTTGTTTTTGGTCTTTGTTTTCTGGTCTGAACCTTCAGAACAGATTCCTTACATCCTATGTTATTAATAGACGCATCTATGAGAGATGAGTATATGTCATTGCTGTCCAGATATTCTGAAGATTTTGTTTTCCTTTGCTAATCTTTTAAACCATTACAAGTAAAAGACAATTTTTTTTCTGAATAAGTTGCTTCATCAAGTCTTGTGTTATCTCAGACTTGTTTCAGAGAGAGGAGTAGAGTGAATGTTCTGTTTTGCACTGCTTGCTGATAAAGGAATGAGTGGTACAGATCTCAGAGTGATTTCTGCCTGTAGGTGTGTTCTCTCACTATTCTTCATGATGTGGCCACAGGTTTCTGACAAAGCGAGAGCAAAAACTAATGCAACGGCGACAACATGCAGAGGAGCTGCTAGAGTGGAAACGGCGTTTAGATGCAGAGGAAGCAGAGATTCGTCAAATGGAGAAACAAGCTTTGGCTGCCTGGGACAAAGAATTAATAAAACCCAAAACCCCTAAGAAAGAACTGGGCGACCAGAGAACAGAACAGAAAGGTAATAAATACTAACTGCTTAAAATATAAACTAAAACTTGACGTAATGGAAAGGTATAGTTCATTCTTTTTAAAAACATGAATGATTAGCAAGAAAAAGGGCAGAACAATTACATAGGCTTTAGACATTAGAAAGATAAGAGAATATCATGAATGACTTTGCGAGAGTACACTTGAAGACTTAGATGAAATGGATAAATTGCATTATAAATATAACTTTGCCAACAAAGCTTATTCACTAAGAAACAGAGGACTTGCTGGTTCTTTAATCATTAGAGAAGTTGTATTCCAGTAGCTACAGATCTTTATACTCCTTTGGTTTCACCAATACATGAAATGCTCAAGGGGGAAAAAAAATTAGTTTTATAATTACTTATTTTTGCATATAATGGAAAAAAAGAGGAGGCATTCCTCTAGCTGTTTGATTAGACAAACATATAACTCTGATATCAGTGTAGGTTGTGCCCTAAAGATAATCAAGCATATTATCAAGACATGTTGTCAAGAAGGACCCGTCCCTGGAGAAGGACATCATGCTAGGTAAGGTGATGGTCAATGAAAAAGAGGAAGACCCCAACAATGGGCTTAAACATAACAATTATGAGGGTGCCAGTTTTATTTAAGAATGTCCTTGAGTAAAGAATTAAAAATATTAATTTTATTAAATCTTTACCTTTGAATACAAAATTTATTTAATATTTTTGGGTCAATATTTATTGCCAGTGATAAAATTAAGGATTTCAAGTAAAAAATTAGGATTTGGGAAATGTTGCCTACTATACCATAAGCTTAACATCTTCCCAATACTTAAGAGATTTTTCTGATATCATAGGTAGTGATAGTAATGAAAAGTGATCTTGTGTGATGAAATTTTGTCAACATTTGGAAGATAGTATAACTCAGTCTACCAGTATTTTTCATTATGATACAAAATTGTATATGGTTAAATGTTCATTCATAATGCAACGTGTAACTAATGGGTTTAAATATAACAGATTATGAAAATTTCTTTCATTTTGGATTCAGAATCCAAATTTACAACTCACCTTGCTAGTTTTAGTGTAGTGTCAAAAAAGAATACCCACAATTACCTGTAAGGTTCCTTTTCTAACTATATATCTGTGCTAGACTGATTATTAGTTTCTAAGGTTACCATAGCAAGTTACCACAAATTGGATGACTTAAAACAAAAGAAATTTATTTTCTCAAAGTTCTGAAGGCCAGAAGCCTGAAATCAAGGTGTTGATAGAGTTGATTCCTTCTTGGGAGTTTAAGAAGTAGCTGTTCCTATCTTCTAATGATTGCCAGCAATCTTTGGCATTCCTTGGCATTCCTTGGCAGTCAGAATTGTTTAAAGGTGAAATGGAACAGAAAATGTTCTGTGTCACACATAGTAATGATCAATGTTATGATAAAGGGATAAAAAAAAAGGATAAAAACGGGATTAAAAAAAAAGTCTGAAAGCTACTTTGTTTAGCACAAGTGAGTGTTTTTGAAGAATAGAAATTTATGTTCTCACACTTTTGAAGGCTAAAAATCCAAATCAGGGTTTTGGCCATGTCAATTCCTTTCTTTTCTGTTGTCAAGTACCATCAAGTCGATTCCAACTCCTAGTGACCCTGTATAGCGTTTCTGAGGAGCTGCTGGGGAGTTTGAACCACCAACCTTAAAGTTCAAATGACCTTGGAGTCCATTGTTTATCCTATAGTGCCATACCTGGACTCCTTCCTATCTGTAGCCTTATGTATTATTTAGGTTTTTGGCTTATAGACAATTCCTCCATGGTGTGTCTCTTTGTGTGTGTGTCTATGTCTCTGCTGCTCTTTATATACGTTTAAATCTACTTTACACAAGCATTACTTCAGTTATCACATTACATTATATTGCATTGTGGAAGGTGATTACATTATGTTAGATTGCATTATGGAAGAGCATTGCATTAGGTCAGATGCATTATATCCACAAGTATAGGGGTTTAGGATTCATATTCATATTTTGGAGGGACACAGTACAAACCTACCATACCATCCTTTGACTTCCCAAAATCCATTCCTTCCCCAACTTTCATCATGCATCAGACATCACCTTTTTCCCCCAAATCTTAACTCATTCAATATCAGTGCTTAGTCCAAACTCTCATCATCTGAATCATCTACATCAAGTATGGGTGGCACTCTGGTGTGCCCCATCTAGGACAAAATTCCTTCCCAGCTGTGGACATATAAAACCAAGGATACAAGTACTGTGCTTCCAAAGTGCAATGGTGAAATTGACAATGTAGACATTTCTGTTTACAAATGGAAAGAAGGGGTGTGGGTACCAAGCAAGGAAAAAATCCAACAGAACAAAATTTATTAGCTCTGGAGAATTGAAAATAATATTTTGTTCTTTTGGACCATCTGGGCAACTGGTACTATCTCCAGACTGTGTGCATTAATCACAGTGTTTGAACTCTGGGTTAAAGCCCTTTGATTATGGGAATCCAGCCCTGCCTTCCAGGCTCACTTGGACAGTGACCATGCTTCCTCAGCTTTGTATAGCCCCATTTGTTGAACCACTCACCCCTCACCCTCAAGTGACTTTGTTCTCTTGGCCCACATATACAGCATGCCAGTCCTTTCAGTTTTGAGTGGTGATCTCCTTCTCATGGCCCCTCCAAACTGCAGCTGCACCCTTTGGAACTAAGGTGGTAGTGACAACTAGACTCTGAAACTTGAGGTGTTTGTTAACTGTGCTTTTAGTGGGCAGTGACTCACATTTTGAAACCTAGAAATAGACACCCTCATCTTTGCTCCTTCTAACAGTTCTGCAGATCTCCAAAGTGCTCCCCAAAGCAGGATGATACCTACTTCCCTTCTTTTGGAGAATAATAGGTGTCCACAATCAAGTAGAAGTCCTGTGTGGCACTCTGGTTAATGCACCAGACTTCAGAGCCATTCGAACTGCAAGGTTGGTGGTTCAAGCTCATCAGCCACTCCTCGGAAACCCTGTACATTGTCATTATGAATCGGAACCGACTGGCTCCACTGGCCTGGCTCCTGCCTATAAAATGATAGGAGGCATACAACTTTCATTCATTTTATCCTGTCTCTGTCTCTTTCAATGTAAGGTGACAGAATTTTTGCTGTGTTGGTCTATTAGGTATCAGTCACAAACTTAATCTCTTTAAAAAGAATGTGTAGCCATACCATTGGTAAAGTGAAAATTCCAGGACACTTAGCTTTCTTCAGTTCTACAATATAATTTTTCAGATATTTAAGTTCTGGTTTCATACTGAACAATTCATTTTATATAAGAAGCAAGGAAAAACTATGTTGCCCCTTTAAGATCATGCTTAGAAATCTCCTTAACCAAATATCCAAGTTCACCACTTACAAGTTTTACTTTCCACAAAATATTGTAGTACACTTCAGACAAATTCTTTGCCTGTTTATAAAAATGATTGTCCTCTCTTTAGTGTCCAAAAACATGTTCATTTCCTCTGAAAGCCTCACCAAAAGCACATTTAATGTTCACATTTCTAGCTATTCTCCATACTGCTCATTTTATCTGAGCCCACATCAGAATCACCCCTAATTATAATACTGTCAGCAGTCTTTTCAAGGCAGTCTAGGGCCTTACTTTCAAGAAGATCAAAATACTATAACCCTCCCCATTTTTCAATTACATAACCACTTCTACGTTTTATATATGTGTTAGAACAGCACTTTCTTGGTACTTAGTATTGCTATAACACAAATGACACAGTGGGTGGCATTAAAGAACGAAACTTTTTATTTCAAACTTGTGGTGTCTATCAGTCCAAATCAGAGTTTTCAGCATGTTGATACTTCCTTTGTTGGTAGCTTCACATGTTTCTTGGTCCATTGACTTATATAGGTAATTTTCAAATGGCATCTGTCTTCCCCTATATGCATGTGTGTGTATATATGCTGTCGTTTATATAACTCAGAAATGATTAAGTTTAGGAATCACTGTATAGTATGACTGAACTGGTTGATCACGTTACATTAGATTACATTATGGGAGTTGGATGCATTACATTATATCTAAAGGTATAACCCATTGCTGTTGAGTTGATTCTGATTCATAGTGAACCTGTGAGTAGAACTCCATAGGATTTCTGATGCTGTAATCTTCCTTGGTGTGGAGGTTAGACTCACGATTTCATAGGGCATTCCAAATAAGTGGCCTAATAGCCTGTTTGAGTCCTATTACAGGGCTGCCATAGACTGGCAAAAGAACCAATAGATCTGTTTTGGAAGAAGTGCAGTCAGAGTGCTCTTTGGAGGCCAAGATGGCTAAACTTCATCTCTCATATTTTGGACATATTGTCAGGAGGGAACAGTCACTGGAGAAGGATGTCATGATGGGTAAGATGGAGGGTCAAAGAAAAAGAGGAAGACCCCCAACGAGATGGATCAGCCAGGTGGCATCATTGATGGCATCAGGTGTGACAACGGTAGTGAGGTTGGCCCAGGATCGGACATTGTTTCGTTCTGCTGTGGATAGGGTGGCTATGAGTTGGTTCCGACTTAATGGCACCTGACAACAACAACAACAACAGTGCTATAAGATAAGCACTGTACTGCTAACCACAGGTTGGTGGTTCAAACCTGCAAGTTGCTCCACCGAATCCTATACAGGGTTGCTATGAGTCAAAACTGACTAAGAACAACAGTAGCCTGTTTAGTGCTTCTGTTATATTTCCTGGTTTGTTGCATAATCCCTGGGGTCTTATAAAAGCTTGCAAACAGTTATCCAAGGCACAACAATTGGTCTTTATTCACCTGGAGCAATAGTAAGAAGGAGAATTGGGAATTGGAGGAAAGTTTGGAATGTGTGACTGATTGCCTCCTTTGCCATGAGACCAGAAGAACTTGATGGTGCCTGGCTACCATTCCATACAGTCTCCCTCAGTTATCAGTTAGATCCATTCCTAACTATGTCTTTGTCAGGGCTTTGACCCAGTTCTGATAGGTTCAGTTTGGGTGAGTGTCA